GCGCGCCGCGGGGCGGGAGGGGTAGGGCGCGGGCCGAGAGGGCCGCCTCGGCGCCGGCCCCGGTGTGACGTCACCGGCGCGTATCGGCCAATCGGCTGCCCGCGTCGGCCTCTTAAAGGCGCAGGGGAGCCTTTCCGTATCTAGGCGGACAAAAAAAGCGGGGGGAGGAAGGTCGCGGGAGGCCCCGCCTTGAGGCCCCGCCCCTCGCTGCCCCCCCTCCGCTCCCGGCTGCCGGCGATGCTGCGGGCCGCGGTGGCCAGGTGGTGCCACTCGCAAGTGTCGCGGCCTTGGAGAGGCGTTGGCCGAGCGGTGCCGTGCCGACCCCGCCCCGCACTCCCGGGAATCGCGCTGCGGGCGGGGCGGGCGCTCCACGTGGTGGGTGGAGGTGGGGCTCCTTCCCCCTCCCAGGCTCCGCTTTCTCTGGCTGGGCCTGGAACTGTGTCCTAACAGCTGGTCCCTCGTGTAGCGGAGCACAGTGGTTATGATCTCCATCTTCTTGATGAAAAGACTGAGTCTCTGAATACCAAAGGGATTTTTCTAACGCGGAAACAAGATCAAGAACACTTCTCACTGAGACTTCACATGCACAGAGGTGGAAACTGGCTCTGCCAAGTTAAGGCACTCTCCAAGGGGCATCACAATTAGTACGTGCCAGAGTCACCAGCTCCTTTAACTACAACCCCAAATACTGTCGTTTTTGTTAAGATCTTAAATTTGGAGGGTGAGCCAGCCCCCAAGCAATTCTGAAAGGCGAAATTCTGAGCCATAGTTTTCTTCTCTTTCAAATAGGGAGCAATTCTGTCTCAGAAAGTTGTGACGGTTAAAAATGATGATAAATTGCTTAGCACAGTGCCTAGCTCGGAATGAGTGCTAAAGAAATGTTCTACAGACCGAAATAATGGAACCAACCAGACCAGAGTTACCTAGAAATTGCCAGTACTCAACCACTTTGGACCTACAGAAACAGCAATTTCATATGGTTCAACCTAATAGTCAAAACTTCTAGAAAGCTGTCAAGGTTTCAGGGACTCAAAGTCAGCCTGGGGTGGGGGCCATGTTGGGAAGATGGGGGATGACAGGGCATCAAGAGGGGGAAAGAGACACTTGGCACCCACTCTAGTCCCTTGAGAGTCCTCCACAGCTTCTGTGCTCTGCTTTGAAAACAGTTTCACTTCCAGATTTGGGTGGACACTGAGTACCCTGCCCCACCCTCCTCCTCACAAGGGCCTCCGGAAGGACAGTGCTCAGAGAGAAAATGAAAAAGGGCTCTTACAAAATGGGCATGCATCCTCCCTCCCCAGATGTCTCCAAGGAGGGATAAGCCAAAGGAACTGGCAGCTTCAAGTGTGAGTTTGAGGTCTACCCCCTTGCCCAAAGCAGCGCTCCCAACGCTGGTTGCAGATGTCTAAAACGCCACCCTTTGACTTGCCTTCCTTCATCTGAAGACCTCTCTCCTTGGGAAACTCTTAAATGCCCAGCTGCATTTGATGCAGCAATTCCACTTTAGAATTTGATCCTAAGACTGTAGCATCACTTATCAAGAGTGAACATTAGAAACAATGTAATGTCTGACAAGAGGGAATTCATTGAATATATTATGGCCCCAAATGGAATGAAACATTACATTTTTTTAGAGAGGGGGGTGGGGCAGAGAGAGGGAGAGAGAGAGAGAATCTCAAGCAGACTCCCCACTGAGTGCAGAGCCCCGACAGAGGGCTCAGTCTCACAACCCTGAGAACATGACATGAGCTGAAATCAAGAGTGGGTCACTCAACGGACTGAGCCACCCAGGAACTCCTGAAACATGACATGTTAAATGAAGCAAATATTACTGGTGTGGAAAAATGCCCATGATACAATGTTAGGTGGAAAACCAACTTTTAAAAAAGTTATCAGTAGTTTGATATCAATTTCAAACAAATACTAACAAAGTCATATATTTATGTGTGTGTATGTCAGAAAATGCACCATAATGTTCACACCGGTTATCTCCGGGTGGAGCGATTCTTATTTTCTTCTTTATGCTTATCTGTATTTTCTAATTTCCAAAAGAAACAATTCTTACTTGTATACATTTTTTTTTTTTAGTGTACTCTTTATTTCTCCTTGGTCTCTTAGCACAAAAGACATCCTTGTGGGAGGATGTATACTTTTTTTTTTTTAATTTAAAAAAGCAAACATCAATTCCCTAGGAGGACAGAACCTCTCTAAAGGCTGATGTTGCAAACTGGCAACCCATGGGCCATATGCAGGGCACAGACATGCTTTGTTTAATCCACACCACGGATTCTTAAAGATTATATTAGAGAAAAAAAAAAAAAAAAACGAGACTGGAGGAAACCCCAGTTTAAAAGGCGGGAAGCAGAGAATTACCAAGAGTGAGATCTGGAGGGTGCAAAAAGCAATCAATGGCTAGAGGGAGAAGGTCTTGGGGGCAGTTTACCAGGATATGTGGAAATGATTGCAGAGAATCTAGCATGAGGGGCCCCACCTTCCTTCCTGCAGAGTAAGGAGCAGTATAACAGTCACATGCACAGAGGGACATGCAGGGCAGTGCTCCAGGGGAGCTAACAACTCCCACGAAGGACAGAGAGCTCCTACACCCAGCAAACCACAAGAACACAGAACCTCATAAGGACAGCCATCTCTTCTCAAAAAATCAGAAGCACTCCATTATAATTAAATCAACAATCAGGCAAATAAGAATTCCCAAATGCAGAGTATTACAGACCAGCAAAAGTCAGTCAGCAAGCATTTAAGGAAAGCTAGCACTCTGGAAGAAAGCTACCTGAGAACTAACAAGTAAGGGGGAAGTTAGAACAAACAGAAGGCTTTAAAAATAAAAAATAAATAAAAATAATTAATAGCTCTAGAAAAAATGTGGAAGCTTCTGTGCCCATCAAGCAAAAACTTATTTTAGCTTCTTTGTTAAAAGAAGCAAATAGAGGTCTTGGAAAATAAATATAAATATATTATTTTGAAAAGCTGAGTTGATAGCAAAATGAATATGGCTGGACAACACAGTAGTAAGCTAAAAGATTAAAACAGAATTTCTCCTAGAAATTCTAAAAGGACAAAGAGAAGGTAAATGACATGGAAGATACATTCAAAAGTTCCAGCACCTGCCTAATAGTTCCAGAGAGAAAGAAGAAAGTGAAAGAGAGAGGGAAAAATAGAGAGAGGTAATAATTAAAGCAGCAATAAAGGAAAAAGTTCCAGTGCTTAAATACACAAGCCTTCTCTATGGATCAATATAGGTTGATCGTACTGTGATAACAAACCACACCCAAATCTCAATGGCTTAAAACCACAAAGGTGTGTTTTCTGCCTCTTGCTAACTATCTATTGGCTACGTGTCCATCACAGGTCAGCAGTGGGCTCTGCTGGTTGTAGTCACTCTAACATTCAGGCTGGCAGAGCAACCACCATCTGGAATGTTGCCCATCACTGTGGCAGAAAGGAAGAGAAAGCTCAATGGGTCTCACATTAACAGTTCAATGGTCCAGCCCAGAAGTGATATGTACTCACCACTCATTGCCTAGAACTAATCACATGGCCTCACCCAAACACGAAGGAGCCAGGAAGTATAATCCAAGCATATGACTGGAACTATTTAGTGAATAGCACTGATGAGTAATGATCAATTATACCTTTGGTTTCCATTAATTTGATACCATGGATGAATCTCAAAAGCATTATGCTGGGTAAAAGAATTCAGACTTAAAAGGCCATATATTGTTTGATTCCATTTATTTATATGACATCTGTAAAAGGCAAAATAATAGGGATCGAAAAACCAGATCAGTGGTTGCCAGGAGCTTGTGGGGAGGAAACTAACTGCAAAAAGGAACAAGAGAACTATTTGTGGTAATGCAAATACTCTCTCTTGATTATGGTGGTGTTTGTATGACTGTGTAAGTTTCTCAAAAGTCATAGAAATGTATGCCTGAAAAGAGTGAATTTTACTGTATGTAATTCTACCTCAGTAAATCTTGGAGGATAAAAGGTTAAATAAATGGCTTTTTCCACCCATAGGATATTTGAAAGAATTACTGGAGGTTGTTCTTTAGCAAAACAAAAATTAAATTCAAGTAAATAGAGTACACAAGAAACAGCATAGAGCAAAACAAATAAAACTTAAACTTGAATTTTAAAAATTATGATTTGTAAGATTTTTATAAAAATGAAATAAAAAATAGAGTTTTTAAGAATAAATCATGTTAGAAGGCTTGTAATTAAAAATAGCAGTCCCCTATCTGGCCCCCCCACACCCATGCCGTGCCCCTTAGTAACTGATAGCGCCACCCACCTCCTCCCAGAGGTAATCCCTTTTGAAATTTTTAGTTATTACTTCTAGTATATATCTCCAAATTAAAAAAAAAAAAAAGCCTCTCTTGCTATATATATATATTCTAAAATCATCAACTTCAGACATCATCTATTAACTTATTATGTTAAAACCATTTTACTTGGGGCGCCTGGGTGGCTCAGTCGGTTAAGCATTTGCCTTCAGCTCAGGTCATGATCCCAGGGTCCTAGGATCAAGCCCCGAGTTGGGCTGCCCGCTCAGTGAGGAGTCTGTTTCTCCCTCTGCCTCTGCCCCTCCCTCTGACTCGTGCTTGTGTGCACATGCTCTCTCTGTCTCAATTAAATAATTAACTAAAAAATTAAAATATTAAAAAAAGAATGGTTTTACTTTATTTTGTTATACACCTCTTTCCTCCCCTTTTTTACTAATATAGTTAAATTATATTGTGTTTAATTCATATTCAATGTTTTTATTATTTTGGCTACAAAATTATTTTATTTTATTTATTTTATTTTATTTTGTTTTATTTTATTTTTTTAGAGGGAGAGAGAAGGAGAATGTGCACATGTGCACGCAAGTAGGGGGAGAGGGGCAGAGGGAGAGGGAGAGAGAGAATCTTAAGCAGGTTCCACACCCAGGGCAGAGCCCTACTTGGGGCTTGATCTCTTGGCCCTGGGATCATGATCTGGGTCAAAGTCAAGAGTTGGATGCTTAACCAACTGAGCCACCCAGGCGCCCCAGCCACAAAATTATTGTGCACTATAATTTCTTTTCCTTGTTTCTTTGAACAAAAAATTATTCAAATTTTTGTTTTTCCTGGAGTTAACAATTGCCTCACATTTTTCCCCATTTGTTTAGCTTTCTTTGAACCCATGTAAGTCTTCCCATACCATCCAATAGTTTTGTTAAATATATCTCAATACAACTTTGACAGAGTCAACCCTATCAGATCTTATCAGCCTCAATTTTTCCCACTGAAGTCCTTTGTCCTAACGATAGGGATTGATTGTTGTCTAGGCTTACTGCATAGCTATTGTCCTGGGACCTCCCTTTATCAACCTGGAAATTTACTTCATTGATCTTGTGTCAAATATACTATTTCCTAAGCTCTGTATGGTGCTTTGGATCCCCTTTCATTAGTTTTTAAAATTGCTTGTCAGACCCCAGCCACCAAAATGGTGAA